TTCCCAACGGTGACGAATTTGTCGCGCCACATATCTCAAGAATGCAATCGCATTACTCTATAATATATTCCAATTTTCTGCGCATAAAATTGTTTCATCTCTCTCTTTTAATGATTTAATTGATTGTTGAACTGATATGTTCTGTCCCATCCCGAGATCGGGGAAAAAGTGGATAGGGATTAGCGAAGGGACTGGAGGGAACTGTCATCGGTGGGCGAGGCGTGCACCAAACTTATAAATCGTTTCAGGAACAGTCCAGTGATCGAGAAACACGGTCAATGGTTGGCGAAGGACGGAGGGTCAAAAGCCATCGGTGGGCGGGAGTGCACTGGTATGGGCGGAGTTCGGCAGTGAACGTCATGATTTAGTTCCAAGACGGCCCTTATAGAGGAAAAAAAGTGTATAGACGCTGGCAGCGGGAGTTCAAGTGCTATTAGCGTATCAATGAGGGAGGTGCGAAAACCAACTATTGTATTATGGATCAGAGGTTGCCGAGATAGGGAACGAAATGGACAAAGGCTGGAGAAGGAGAAGTCAATTTAGAGGTACCAGTCTAGCCATGCACAACTTCTCAGTTTATTCCACATTAAAAATGAAAAAGCACGCAGGGAAAAGTTGCTTTCGAAACCGCCTATTCTCTACAATAATCTCCCCTACAGCACTGAATGGAGGGCCCTTGCAAGATGACACAATTTCTTAGCTCCATAAATGGAAAGACTTTTGAAGAGCTGCCGTGCACTCGGCTTCCACAGTGATTAAAAGGACACTTTCCAGCCAGATACAACGTTTTACCCACAGAACTGCTGCAAAAAATAGTTCATTTTTGTGGGAAAAAAATTAGGAGATGCCGTGCCCTACCCTTCCATACAGGACTGCCAGGGATTGAAAGAACCTTCCATACAGACAATCTATCCAGCCCCATAACAGCCCATTATAAAGAAAAGGAAGTTTGGCTTCGCATTCTACCACGCGCATGGAGTAGTGGCGCCAATGAAGCTGTACAACCAGTGGAAAATAAGATCACACGTTCAAAGTATCCAGTGGTGAGATGATTCTGAAAGTTTCAGCTGATGGTTTGATACACAGGCTGTACAGTTTCACAGACGCCATTGTTCGCCACTGCTTAATGGGCGCGGTAGCGTGCGGAGCCAAACTAGTGTAGTGAAAAAAAATAAGTTGAACACGAACATGAGCTCCTTCAAGGCTGTACAACGTCTGCGAAACCATGGTAGGTTGTGGTTGGGTTAGAGTGGGATCTTCGTGGAAAGCATGTTTCAGCACTGCTTTCGCGGGTCGTGATATTCGCAGTGTGGTACCCTAAATATGACAGTACTACTGATAAAATGTAATACAAGTACATCAAATATAAGAAAGAATACAGGCATATGAAACCTCTAGGCGAACG